CCCCAAAACCCCAAAACCCCAAAACCCCTTGTGTGCCTAAAATGCTTGAAAATTGGATAGATACCGAAGATAATATCTTATACTATTTGATGGTTTTAACCTTCTCTTGCTTTGCAACTCTTCTTAGATTTATGATTTCCTTGATTTCTCTGATAAAAATACATGAAATTGGGATTGAACTGGTAAACACAAAGGAAGTCATCATGATGAAAACAGCTGTCCAGCTTGCGTGGTCTTGTATATACCCGATTCCTTTCTGGCCGGCTGCTGCCCCTAAAGACCCTGTGCCATCAACAATTCCTGTCACTGTTGAAAGAGCAGATTCATTACCCTTGATTGAAGCATGCTTTCCAATATCAGCACAGGCTGTGCTTGCAACCATATTTGAAATAGATCCAATGAAAAAGCCTAGGATGAAAATCACAATAAAAATCAGGACTTTTTGACTACTTCCTAAGAAAATGAGAAAGGAATGAAACACAGTAGCAATAAGCAAGCTGACGTAACAAATTGGGATTCTCTTACCATATAACATATCTGTCAGGAACCCTAGGGATATACTCCCTATGATAGTTCCAATGTCATAGAGAATAGCGATAAGAGCCTTCTGGCTCGGGGTAAACAGGAGCTCTTCACTAACATAAGTAGGCAACCACAACATGATCCCATAATTTCATAGCTTGAGTCATAAATATCAAATCGAATATTGGATGACTCCTGGAACACACCAAGCTCTAAAAAAGTTGATATTGGGAGGAGCTGCTTTATCCAATCCATCATTATTTGGACTTTGATTCCCATCTATTGTTGAATCTCCATTTCTCTGGGTGAGATTAATATTTTCCTCTTCAGAAGTGTTAGGTCTTTGTTCTTGCTCAAGCATCGCTTCTCGCTCCTCTTGTTCATCACGGATGATGATTCCTACCTTATCAGGATGCTCTATCATAAAAATGAAATTGATAATGCCAAAAACTCCTACGATAATAGCCACGATAATCCAAGTCCAGCTCCATTCAAGGCCAAATTGGTCATTAGTAAGACTTCAGATAAGAGTCCCAAGTATGTTTCCTACATTAGGGTTTGCAGCCCAGACTCCGAACCAGAACCCTCGACCTTTCTTTGGGAACCAATTGGCCATGATTGCTATGACGGAAGGCCAGCCGACGGATTGGCCGATTCCGTTAAGTGAAAAGAAGCCTACATAATACCATACTGATCTGATATCCCAGAGACCGCCTAGGCCGATCATGATTGATGCTGCACAGGTTATCAAATAGCCACACCCTATCAATAAATTTTTGTTAAGATTGTCGCCTAAAATACCACTAATGAAGATGCCTATTGAGTAGATAAAAAAGAAGAACATATCTATTGTGCCTAGGTCATCACTACTGAGGCCAATTCCAGGGGATTCCTTCTCTTTGACCTTTTCTTTCAAGAATGACCAAGACTCTCGACTAATATGGAGTGTAGCATAAGTGAAGAAAGTTAGGATGAATATATAAATTTGGAAAAAGATCTTCCTGGAGCCACCAGTCCCCATTTCTTGCAGGTCATCATCTGATGAGTCACCAGATAAAGCCTCATCTTCGAGGAGGTTCTTTGTCTGGTCTTCTAGCTCCTTTCCAGCCATTTTGTGATATTTCTATTAATTTTACCTTAAAAGGGGTTTTGGGGTTTTGGGGTTTTGGGGTTTTGGGG